GCGGAGCGGAGCGGGAGGCCCGGGCGCGCCGCCGCTATGAATTCCGCCGAGCAGACCGTTACGTGGCTCATTACCTTGGGGGTGCTGGAGTCGCCCAAGAAAACCATCTCGGACCCGGAGGGCTTCCTGCAGGCGTCTCTGAAGGACGGGGTGGTGCTGTGCCGGCTGCTGGAGCGCCTGCTGCCCGGGACCATCGAGAGCCCGCGCCCCCGGTGGGGGCGCCCCAGCCCGCGCGCCCCAGGGCGGCGGCTCCTCCCTGCCATTCTTTGTGTCGCGTCTCCATGTCGGCTAAGGGCCCCGCACTGGGAGGCGCCGTGGGTTCCCCGCCGCCGAGTCGCCCGGACACCCCAAGTGAGACTGACTCCTGATCTGGCAGCATTCCCAGAAGCTGGGTGGCTGTGGGTGATCTGGCCCAGGGAGGCCTCTGTCCAAAGGCCTGCAGGGGCCTGGGGGCGCCAGCTGGACCCCAGGACCCGCCTCCACCTGGTCTGCAGCCTGCCGAGGGGCGGTCCAGGGCCAGAGCCTGCACGGGCCGGGCAGGGCGACTGGAGGACAATGCCTGGGGCTGGGCGCTTGCTGAGGGCCGGCTTCAGGGGGACCAGGACTGGTGCTCCCGAGCCAGGCGCTTGCTCCCTGCCCCAGGAGTGCAGAGCGAGCGTGTCTCTGGTCCCCAAACACCGCCCCCTCCCAGGATGACAGAGGTGGCACCAGCAGGCTTCAAGGCTCCCTCTGTCCTCCAGCGCCCCGCCTCCCTGCCCCTGCCGGCAGTGGCCTGGCGAGGGGAGGTGCCGGAAGGTCACTCATGGTAGCACAGCAACAGGCCTACCGCCCTGGGGTGCCTGCTGTGGCTCCTTAATTCATTCTTACTGCCCTGAAGAGGACGCAGGTTGGGGTGTGGGGGTGGAGGACGTGCTCAAGGTCACCCTGCTGCCTGCTGGTGGCGCCCGTGGGTGGGAGGCGATGCTCAGACCCGGCCGTCCCCTCCCCTGCACTGCAGGGTCCTCAGCGGGGACCTCGGGCTGAGCTGTGCTGTCCCCGCCCTGGCCCCACGGCGGTGCTGTGGCAGACACCCCGCTGAGAGGCGGGCCCCAGGTCCACTGGGCTTTCGACCAGGTGGGTCTCAATGCCAGGGTCACGGGCTGGTGGCGCCGCCTCCTCCCCGCCACCGATGGTCGGAAGCCAGGCTGCAGATGGCCGGCCTCTGGCCGCTCCGGCCTGGTGCCTGACCACCCTCTCGCCCCTCGGGCGTGTGCTCTGTTCACGTCTTAGACTCTCCGTCTCCTAAAACGCTGTCGGGGTGGAGCCTGGCGCTGCTCAGTGCGCCTCCCCAGCCCCCTCTGGCTCTCCAGCTGCCCCACGGCTCCGGGTGGTGCCAGACGGAACACCCAGCGCCACAGCCTGGCCTGCGCACAGTTGCCCGTGGGTGGCCCCGCAGCCAGTGCGCCGCCCAGACTCCCCGCCCCGGCCAGGCTCGCTGGACCTTTGGCCCACAGCATGTTGCTGGCCCCTGCTGGCCTTTCTTGACCTGCCCTGGTGTCCTGGCCACTGCCTCCATGGGCTCCCGAAGGGACCCCTTGCCTCTCTGGGTTCCTCCCCCTTCTCCTGCTCCGCCTGGCCGGCTCCCAGCCTCTTCGTGGCCAGGCTCGAGGCTGCCGTTCCCACCGGCCGGCCACTGCCCTGTGCGGTGCCCGGTGGCCTGCTGTGTGCGACCCGTGCGGTGCCGTGGCCTTGTCCTTCCGGCAGGACCTGACCTGCTCTGCTTCCAGATGAGTGGCAAGTACACCCTCCCCCGCTGGCTCGTGCTCCCTACGTCACCGGGAACCTGCCCCGAGCGCTTGACTGTGCCCCAGGGCCATCCTCCTGGCCGCTGGACTCATTTCCAGCGGGAGCCCCAGGAGCCCGCTGTGAGCCCCTCTGGGGTGTGGGGCGCAGGCCGGGCAGGCGGCGCAGCGGTGGTCTCTGCCGCGGGGCTGCGGGGCGGCTGCGGCCGGTAACGTGGTGTGAAGCAGGAGACTCAGCCGTGCTGCGTGAGGGCCCGAGACAGCAGGTCCTTGGGGTGATGAGCTGGGCCTGGGGCCTGGCTCTCTGCGTCCGGCCCTCGCGCTCGCCACTGCACACACCGATCCCGGTCATTCCCGGGGAGCTGCTCCCCCCGCCCCCAGTGCTTCCCGGGCAGCCCGGTTTGCCTGGGGAAGTGAGCTTAGCTCACGCCTGCGTGGCCTTGGCGAGGGAGGCCAGAGCGGGACCCGGGTGCTCCGAGGGACGCCCGGGGACGTGGAAAGGCTCCTGGATTCCGAGTGTGGCGGGCAGGCCTGCGCTCCCCTCGTGCCCTGTCGCCACGCCCCTGTGCCCGTGGAAGCTCTATTTACGCCGACTGGGCAGGGGCAGTCTGTCCCTCAGTCGCGCGTGCCCCCTCACGCCGCGCCGTCTGCAGGCTGTCTGGCCGGAGAGCGTCTCTCAGCTGGGCGCTGTGGTGACGGTCCGAGGCAAGGTGCCGGGGGCCGCCTCTGTGTGCCCCCCTCTGGGCCCGCATGGCGCCAGCGCTCAGGGGCTCTCATGGGGCCACGGCTGCTGCTGGAGCTGCACCTGACCCCGGTGGCCCCACGGCCCGGCGGGGCCGGCCTTTCCCCGGGAAGCCGCACACCCCCGTGCGCGTCCCCGAGGGCAAGGGGAGTGCCTTGGCTTGCTATGTCCCGGGCAGGTCACTGGCCTCCTGGGTCCCCTGCTGTGAGGTGGGGAGGCCGTGGGGAGCGGCGCAGAGAATCAGCAGAGGCGGGGCGCCGCGTCTGCTGCAGGCTGGGGCGCGGGGTGCGGCTCCG